TTGCGCAAAGTCTTGTGCGATGAAAATTTAAACTTCGTCACGCAAAGTCTTTACAAAAATAAATAAAATAAATTTTTTATTTTTTTAAATCTTTGCACGACGTAATTCAAATATTTCGTTGCCTAAACCAATTTATTTTCGTTTTTTATTTTGTACGCATAACACTTAAGAAATTGAACGGTATATATATTTATTAAGTAGCTTTAAATTTATTATTGTAGTTCGGATCGGGTTTTTGTTAGAAAAATATATTATTTTAGTTTGGATCGAATTTTTGTTAGAAAAATATATTTTAAATTGACGATCAAATTAGTTCATTGTATTCATATAGGGTCAAGGAGTGTAGATGTAAAAAATCACCAAAATCAGAGTTGAAATAACTGTTAAATCATGATTTTTCGTTTATAATTGTTGAAAAGTTTTATCCCATTAGTTTATATCTGAATGTTTGTTTTTTGTGATTTTTGGTGTATATGATCTCGAAGTATATACAAACAAGTCTGACGGTTGGATCGTTGAAATTAGTTTCGTAGAATGTATATTCCATCAAAACAATAGATTTACTAACACTTAAAGAGTTTATTTATATTTTCATTAAGTATAACTAGTGTAAATATTTTAAATTAAAGATCGAATTCAGTCATTGTATTTAGATAGGGTCAAGGAGTGTAGCTATAAAAAATCATCAAAATTGGAGTTAAAATAACTATTAAATCGTGATTTTTCTTTTATAACTGTCAAAAAGTTTTGCCCTGTTAATTGATTTCTGAATGTTTGTTTTCTGTGATTTTTGGTGTATATGATCTCGAACTATATACAAACAAGTTTGACGGTTGGATCGTTGAAACTAGTTTCGTAGAATGCATATCCCATCAAAACAATAGATTCACTAACACTTAAAGAGTTTATTTATATTTTCATTAAGTATAACTAGTGTAAATATTTTAAATTGAAGATGGAATTTAGTCATTGTATTCATATAGGGTCAAGGAGTGTAGTTGTAAAAAATCATCAAAATCGAAGTTAAAATAACCGTTAAATCGTGATTTTTCGTTTCTAATCGTCGAAAAGTTTTGTCCCGTTAGTTGATCTTTGAATGTTTGTTTTTTGTGATTTTTGGTGTATATGATCTTGAAGTATATACAAACAAGTTTGACGGTCGGATCGTTGAAACTAGTCTCGTATAATGCATATCCCATCAAAACAATAAATTTATTAACACTTAAAAGAGTTTATTTATATTTTCGTTAAGTATAACATAAGAGTTTGTGGTATCCACTAGTATAAATATTTTAAATTGAATATCAAATTCAGTCATTGTATTCATATAGGTTCAAGGAGTGTAGCTGTAAAAATCATCAAAATCGGAGTTGAAATAACCGTTAAATTGTGAATATTTCGTTTATAATTGTCGAAAAGTTTTGTCCCGTTAATTGATCTCTGAATGTTTGTTTTTTGCGATTTTTGGCGTTTGCGATCTTGAAACCAATTTCGTAGAATGCATATCCCATCTCTGAATGTTTGTTTTTTGCGATTTTTGTCCCGTTAATTGACGATTGGATCGTTGAAACTAGTTTCGTAGAATTCATATGCCATCAAAACAATAGATTGACTAACACTTATAGTTTATTTATACTTTCATTACGTATAACATAAGATTTTGTGGTATCCACTAGTGTAAATATTTTAAATTGAAGGTCAAACTTAGTCATTGTATTCATATAGGATCAATGAGTATAGCTGTAAAAAAATCATCAAAATCGAAGTTAAATTAACTGTTAAATCGTGATTTTTCGTTTATTACCGTCAAAAAGTTTTGTCCCGTTAGTTGATCTCTGAAAAAAAAAATTTGCGATTTTTGGCGTATACGATCTCGCAGTGTATACAAACAAGTTTGATGGTTGGATCGTTGAATGGTATATATATTAAATAGCTTTAAATTTATTTATTTTGTACATATAACACTTAAGAAATTGAATGATATATATATTTATTAAGTAGCTTTAAATTTATTATTGCAGTGCAGATTGGGTTTTTTTTAGAAAATATATTATTGTAGGTTTTATGTAAAAAAAAATTGAATTTGAAGGGAGTAAAGTCAAATTTTTAGTAAATTTTATTATTTATAAAAATTATTTTTATAAATTTTGCTCGACAAACCAATCATTTGTTGCGCAAAATCTTTAAATTTGGACGGGAGCGAAAAATGGGATGCGAGAAATGTTTTTTAATTTTTTTTTAAGACTTTGCGCGACCAACACTTCATCACACAAAACTCTAAAAATTTGGACGGGCACCAAAAATGGGCCGCGGGAATTTAAAATTTTTTTTTTTAAGACTTTGTGCGACCAATACTTCGTCGAGCAAAACTTTGCGTGACCAACACTTCGTTGCCCAAAACTTTGCACGATCAACACCTTGTCGCTCAAAACTCCAAAAATTTGGGCAGGAAAAAAAATGGGATGCGGGAATTAAATTTTTTTTTTTTTTTAAAGACTTTGCGCGACCAATATTTCGTCGCGCAAACTTGTATCCTTTATCGCGCAAAGTAATACGGTTTTTAAAACCAAAATAACTCCTCCACAATTTTCTCAATGCCTTTCTCTACTCTTACCTCTCCTCTTTCTTTCCCTCTCCCCAAATCCGACACTCTCTCACACTCACTCCTCTCACTTAATCTCTCTTCACTATCTCTCACTCTCACTCACTCTCTTATCTCTCTCTCACTATCTCCTTTAATTCTCTCACACTCACTCCTCCCTCTCATTCTCACTCACTCTCCATCTTGCCAAAAGATATATTTTCCCCAAATTTTAATTTTTTTCATTAATGTGTTTTTGGAGTTAGTTTTGAGTTTGGTGCGAGGTTTGGGGTCGAGTATAGGATGAGGAATGGAGTTTGGGGTCGGATTTGGGGTATACCAATTTTAGGGGAGATTATGCCAATTTTTTGTTATTATTTTGTTATTTGACCATATATATGTTTTTGTAGGGAATTATTGATACTTTGACGGCTAAAGTTGAGGAATATGACGCTATCGAAACATATCCCCCGCCACTACCACCACAATAGACTTGTATTAGGATTTTATTATTGTACTTTGTTAATTTATGTGTACATTTTGTATATATTATATATATTGGATATTTGATCACTATTTTTCATATGTAATTTTATTTTGAATATGTCAATTTAAATTAAAGTAATTAAAAAAATAAAATCATACAATTAAATTAAATTCAAAAAGAAAAAATTCAAAAATTTTGCACTACCAAATATTTTGTTGCGTAAACAATTAATATAATTAAATTAATATAAGAGAAATAATAAAACAAAAAGTCAAAAAACCTTGCACGACGTTATCTTTGTCGCGCAAAGTATCTTTGCGCAACAAACTAATTCGTCCGAAGATTAATTTTCGTTGCGCAAACCCTATCATCACTAGCTTTGCGAGACGAACCATGCGGGACCAAAATTTCGTCGCGCAAGGTTTTGCGCGACGAAATTGTACTTTGCGCAACAAACTTATTTCATCGCTTAAAGTGTTTTTTGGAGTAGTGCAAAGAAATGCCTTCATCTTTGCTTCCCAAGCACCATAGTTCTCACCATCAAAGTATGGTGGATGTGAGATTGATCCAGCTGCTCGATCCATCACAATAGTCCCCAGGAGCTCTCTAAATAACTTTAGAGAACTGCTCTGGTGCCATTTGAAATTGTAAACCTGGATGGATCAATGTTAAAATGCAATAAGCAGGAATGATATGTGATTCAATCCTGGTACTTCACAACACAAATCAAAACACAACAAACTGAGAAAACAAACGAAGACAAAGTTTTTGCACGAAATCTCGCATGAGGAAAAAACCCTCCACACAGGAGAGAAAAACCTCAAGGCACACAACCAATTTCACTAAAAAACTTAAGGACTTATACAAGACTCAATTGATACTTTCTTACACCACAAAAGAAGCTTGATCAAATACTCTTGTCTTGTAGAACACGCCCTCTTCACCTTCTCTTGGATTCACACCGATTCACACTCACAAGCAAAGCTTACACAAAGTTCCATGATGAATGAATGATGTGTTATGCTCTCAGACTATCACCTAGATAAATCTAAGAACCTAACAGCCTTTTGTCTCTCCCCCTTGACCTTATAAAACAATCTCACGATTTTGATTAGAGTGCAAAAGGTGTCGTGTAAAGCTCCTAGCACAACCCTTTATATACTAGGTTAACTCTTTTACCTAATAAACAAAGAGATTGGCCTTATTTAAACATCTTCCTTATTTAAGACTATGCAGATTTGTATAGACTTCTAGAATCCCACACCAAATCAAAATTTAATAGGGAAAACAAATCCTATATCAATGCAAATGGTTCTTACCAGAAAAGAGCTTTGCCATGTAACATTAGTCAATCATGCTCCTCATTTAACGCAAGCTCCAACCTTTGCATGTTACAATTAATCCCAAGACTAGGAATAACCAACTTACAAACTCTTTACATTTGCTAGGAAATAGCCAACTTAATTACACTTTCAATAAATAAATAAATAAAAAGTCAAAAAAGGAATAAAGGGAGGGCATGAGTCATGACTGATAGGGGTACCAACCTTTTTACTTAGAAAATTAGGACTTTATCATTATAACTTTTGTGTTAACCAGGTCGCCGAATCAATAACCAACTCGCTCTAGGTCTAGTGGACTTTATTATTGCAATCTTTGTGTTAAACAACTCGTCGACTGAATAACCAACTCACTTTGAGTATAGTGGTACTTCTCTTCTCAAAGTTGAAAGAGATTCCAAGTTGAAATCCCCATTCCTAAAGATAGTGGAAGAAATATAGATTCCAAACGTTTTTCGTGTCTAAAATCCAGCGTCTCCCACGTCCAACCAACCTACAAGGAAGCTTCCAATAATTACAACCGCCGCGTTCACGGCATTACAATGACAATGTCCACAGTTACATTTCATTGAAATCCTTTGCAAAAGGAGGAATGGCTGCAGCTCTAATTGGAGAGGCTTTTCTCTCTGCTTCCATCAAGGTTTTGTGTGACGGAATTACTTCAACTGAGTTCATCGATTTATTTCGGCGCAAGAAACTCGATGAATCACTCCTCGTGAAACTGAAGATAACACTGCTCGCTCTTTACACAGTGCTTACTGATGCAGAAGAGAAGCAGATCGTGAACCCTGCTGTCAGAAACTGGCTTGATGAGCTCAAACATGCAGTCTTTGACGCGAAGGATTTACTGGATGAGATCGATACTGAAGCTTTGCGATGCAAGGTGGAAGGTGAAGATCAAAACGACAAATTAACTAGTAAGGTGTGGAACTTCTTCTCTACTTCTCATAATTCTTTTTATCTAAACATGAATGGTAGGATAAAAGAGTTATTTCAAAGACTAGAACAGCTTGCAACAGAGAAAGATGTCCTTGGTCTGAGAGAAGTTCATGGGGTTAAGGTTTCAATAGAACTCCAACAACTTCCTTGGTTGATGAGTTTCGTGTATATGGTAGGGATGACGATAAAAAATATTTATCGACAGTGTTATTGTCCGATGATGCCAGCGATAATGATGTATGTGTCCCTGCCATAGTTGGAATGGGTGGGGTTGGTAAGACTGCCCTTGCTCAAATCCTTTATAACGATGATAAGGTGAAAGAGCATTTTGCTCTTCGAGCTTGGGCTTGTGTTTCTGAAGATTATGATGCTATTAGGGTAACTAAAACCCTTCTCGAGTCAGTTACTTCAAAACCTTGTAATCTGACAGATCTGAATTTGCTTCAACTTGAACTAAAGGAACAAATTAGGGTGAAAAAGTTTTTATTTGTGTTGGATGACCTTTGGAATGAGAAATATCTTGACTGGGAGTGATTCCGAATTCCTTTCACTTCAGAGGCAAGGGGAAGTAAGGTCATTGTAACATCACGAAGCACAAATGTAGCATCTATCAAGCAAAATGTTCCTATTCACAAATTGAAACCCTTGTTCAATGAAGATTGTTGGTTTCTACTTGCACAACATGCATTTTGGAAATCAAACCCATGGTTCACGTCCAAAGTTGGAAGAAATTGGCAAGAAAATTGCGGTCAAGTGCAATGGTTTGCCTCTAACTGCAAAAACAATTGGGGGTTTGTTACGTTGCAAGATAGATGCTGAGGAATGAATAGCATCTTAAATAGCAATATTTGGGAGCTATCTTATGAGAGAAGTAATATCCTTCCAGCTCTAGGGTTGAGTTACCATTATCTCCCAGCTCAATTAAAACGATGCTTTGTTATTGTTCAATTTTTCCGAAGGGATATAGATTCAAAAGGGAAGAAGTGGTTTTGCTTTGGGTTGCAGTAGGTTTGATTGTACAAGTTGAGAATATGAAAGTGGAAGAGGTGGCTGACAAATAGTTTGATGAATTGTTATCTCGATCGTTGTTTCAAAAGTCACGGAAATGAGTTTTAAGATGCATGATCTCATTAGTGGCTTGGCTACGTTCATGGCCAGGGGGTTTTGCTATAGCTTGGAAGGCAAGGAATCACATGAAGTTCCTAAAATAGTCCGTCACTTTTCATATGTCAAAGAAGAGATTGATTCTGCATCAAGATTTGAGCCATTGTATGGTATGAAGTGTTTGCGGACCTTCCTACCTATGGCGTTGAGATTAGAAATGAAGTTTTATGTGAGTAACAGGATTCTGCAAGATTTGTTGCCTACTCTAACACGTTTGTGGGTGTTATCATTATCAAAATACAAAAATATCACTGAAGTACCTGATTCTATTGACTACCTCATACACTTGCGCTATATGGATGTCTCCTACAATTTGCACTCTCTACAATTTGCAGACATTATTGTTATCAAATTGTTCCTCTCTTACAAAATTGCCTGCTGGAATCCCAAAATTGATTAATCTGCACCATCTTAATTTTAAAGGAACAAATATTGGAGAGATGCCATCGGAAATGGGTCGACTAAAAGATTTGAGGACATTGGCTACTTTTATTGTGGGAAAATCTACTGGTTCATGCATTAAACAGTTGAGGGAGCTTTCACATCTTCGAGGGAAACTTTCTATTTTGAAGCTGCGGAATGTACTAGACCTTGAGGATGCTGTGAGGGCCAATTTGAAGAATAAGAAGGATCTCAAGGAGTTAGAGTTGGCATGGGGTGATGAGGACACCGATGATTCCGAAAAGGAGAGACATGTACTTGACAAGCTCCAGCCTTCCGTGAATTTGGAGAAATTGACCATCAGCTTTTATGCTGGAATCAGCTTTCCGAATTGGTTGGGAAACTCTTATTCCTTATCTAACATTCAAGTCATGCGTCTCAGTGATTGTAGTCATTGTTTATCCTTGCCAAGTTTCGGGCAGCTACCCACTCTTAAAGTACTCTACATCGAAAGGATGAAATCCGTTATGACAGTTGGCTTTGAGTTCTATGGTGGAAATGGAACTTCTGTAATAAAGCCATTTCAATCTTTGGAGAAGCTAGCGTTTAAGGAGATGCCAGAGTGGGAGGAATGGCAACAAGGTTCAAGTGGAGGCCAACGACCAGACTTTACTCGTCTCCAGGAGTTGATTTTAGACAACTGTCCGAAGCTGAAAGGCTTGCGTTATCATCTTCCTTGCTTGAAAAAACTTTCCACGTCTACTTTCACAATCGATTGCTTAAAACAATTGAGGATAAATGAATTCCCAGGTGTATTAACTTTACTAGACACAAAATCTCTGTCCTTGCTTCAATATCTTAATATTCAAACTGTAGTTGGTGTAAAGTGCTTGCCCAAGAAAATGGTGCACAGCCGAACTTTCCTTCACCATTTGGGTCTCTATAACTGTCCATCCCTGGAGTTGTTCCCTAAAGATAGTCTACCAACTACATTGACAACTCTTATTGTAGCAAATTGTAAGAGATTAGAATTCCTACCACATGAGATGATGTCCCAATTGACATCTCTTGATTATTTGCGGATAGAGAATAGTTGTGATTCACTGAATTCTTTCCCATTGGGCATTCTTTCAAATCTTTCTCATCTTGTAATCCACACCTGTGAGAATATGGAATCTCTTCCATTGAAGGAGTAGATGAAAATCTCAGCCATCTCAACAAATTGCAGATCCGGAACTGTCAAAATTTGCTTTCTTTTCCCCTCAGTGGATTGCCTACTCCCAACTTGACTGACTTGAGAGTTTTGCAATGCTAGAATTTGGAGTCAATGCCTAAAAAAATTCACACACAAATTGCCCTTCGCCATTTGGAGATTTGCCTCGCAACCTACTGATTGCCCTCCGAATCTTGTGTCATTTGCACGAGAAGGTTTGCCTCCCAACCTGCAAGAATTTGAGGTCAACAATTGCGAAGAACTAAGGCATGTGGATGTGGTGAATGATTGGGTGTTGGATAGTGGCCAAATTAGGCTAGGAAACAAAACAAAATTGATGAGGGAACATCATGATGAGGATTATATTTCCTTGTTTTGTGGCTTGTTTTGTTCCTTGTTTTGTGGCTTGTCTTGTTCCTTGTTTTGTGGTTTTTTTAAAGCCATAATTATTTGGCTTTCGGGTGGAAGAAAGGAGGAGAAGAAAAGGGGCTGATTTTTATTTAAAGGCTTGCCGAGTGAAAAGAGAGATAAGGAGGAGAAAAAAAAGAAAACATTAGAGAGTGAGAGTAAGGAACTCTTGGGGTAGAGTGAGGCTCTTGGGAAAATTCTGTGAGTGGGTGTACAAGGGATATGGGATTGGGTTATGTCGATTTAACTCATGCGTAACTTGTACTGTTTTTCTCATAGTGAAGAGCAATATCTCTCCGAGGACGTAGGCAGGTTTTTGCCGAACCTCGTAAATTTCTCGGTGTATTTATTTCTTGTATTTTAAACTATTCAACTGTGGGTTTGTATGTTGGTGAGATAATCAGCCAAGGCACAACAATTGGTATCAGAGCTTTGTTGGAAGCTTTGGTTCATTGAAGGTTCAGATTTATTATTCACCATGATGACTACAAACATGTTGTTTTCAGTTGAGAAGTTTAATGGGAAGGGCAGTTTTACTCTCTGGCAGATGAGAGTAAAGGATGTCTTGACTCAACAAGGCTTGGTTAGAGCTTTGAAGGGAAAAGATGGGAAGCCTAAAGAAATGACAGATGACCAGTGGAAAGAGCTGGAGTAGTGTTGTATTAGCACGATTCGACACTGCATAGCTGATAACATTATCAACAATGTTATGGATGAAGATTATGCGCCTGCACTGTGGGAGAAGTTGGAAAAACTCTATATTGCTAAGAGTTTGACCAACAAGTTACATCTGAAGAGGAAGCTGTACAAGCTGAAGATGGATGAAGGCGGGAATCTCATGGACCACATGAATGTGTTCAATGGATACTTGGATCAATTGAGGAAAGTTGATGTTAAGGTTGAGGAAGAAGATAAAGCCCTCTTACTTCTTACCTCACTTCCAGATTCGTATGAGAATCTTGTGACAACCTTATTGCATGGAAAAGATACAGTAAGTTTGGAGCAGGTGCATGCTTCTTTGTTGATGGTGGGCACGAGACTGCTTTAGCTGTTCAAGGTTGGAATCATGGAAGAAAATTGGGAGGAGGATTTGAGAGAGACAGCAGGTTCAAATCAAGCTCCAAAGGCAAGGGACCACAATGCTATGACTGCAAAGAATTCGGGCATAAAAAGATAAATTGTCCTTTGAGAAAAAGAAAGGATGATCTTGGTCCAGGTAGCAGCAATTTTGTGGCGGAAGACTTCGAGTATGCCCTCTAGGTACTTGAAGCAACACATCTCCTGGTGATGTATAATCTCAAGTGTTGCAGGGGGTTGTAGCAGGTGGAGCTATGGGATTCACAGGTGATGAGATGGTCCTGAAGAATGAGAAGTGTGAGGAATGTTTGCTGGAAATGGGTGCACTGACAAGTTTCCAAGTTGCAGACAATGAAGAGGAGGAAAACCTGCTGGAGGAGACGAGGATGTGTCGAGATCCTGTCTGAAGCTAAATGTTTTTTTTTTTTGCTTGCAGCAGCTGCACATGCATTGGCAGTGACTGAATCGGAACAGGACCAACGAGGTTGATTCAAAGTGTGCATGCTGGTACGTAAGGCCAATGGACTTTGGTACAGTTTGAGTCGAGGTGGAGATCATTATGAGTACCAGAAAGTTTGGGGAATTTGATTTAGTTATCGTTGTCTTTAGTTTGTACTTTGGGTGCTTATGGTGATTGTTGATTCGAGTTTCTGTGATGTTTTCGGAATTTGGCCAAGGTGGAGATTGTTGGATAGTGGCCAAATTAGGCTAGGAAACAAAACAAAATTGATGAGGGAACATCATGATGAGGATTATGTTTCCTTGTTTTGTGGCTTGTTTTGTTCCTTGTTTTGTGGCTTGTTTTGTTCCTTGTTTTTTGGCTTGTCTTGTTCCTTGTTTTGTGGCTTTTTCAAAGCCATAATTATTTGGCTTTCGGGTGGAAGAAAGGAGGAGAAGAAAAGGGGCTGATTTTTATTTAAAGGCTTGCCGAGTGAAAAGAGAGATAAGGAGGAGAAAAAAAAGAAAAAATTAGAGAGTGAGAGTAAGGAACTCTTGGGGTAGAGTGAGGCTCTTGGGAAAATTCTGTGAGTGGGTGTACAAGGGATATGGGATTGAGTTATGTCGATTTAACTCATGTGTAACTTGTACTGTTTTTCTCATAGTGAAGAGCAATATCTCTCCGATGACGTAGGCAGGTTTTTGCCGAACCTCGTAAATTTCTTGGTGTCTTTATTTCTTGTATTTTAAACTATTCAACTGTGGGCTTGTATGTTGATGAGATAATCAGGCACAACATTGGGGTCTGCAAGGACTGGTCTCCCTTCAACAATTTCATATTGGTGGCAGGGGAAGTGACGCTATTTTGGAGACCTTGCTCAAGGAAAAGCTGCTCCCTACAGCTCTTCACAGTCTCCACATCTTTGGACTATCAAGTCTGAAAGTTGTTAATGGGAGGGGACTTCAACACCTCACTTCTCTTCGACGGCTAAAAATAAATCAGTCTCCAAGTCTTGAGTTCCTGCCAGAAGAGGGTTTCCCAGCATCACTTTCTTGTCTGAGGATTCACAGATGTTCTTCCCTCACAAAAAGGTGTCAGAATAAGACCGGAGCAGATTGGGCCAAGATAGCTCACATTCCCTTAATAAAGATAGATGACGAAGTGCATATCATATGATCACTACTTCACATAAAGTTTTAGCTTTTATTTCACTCTCGAATCCACATCAAGTACGTACATGCCACGACTTTAGTTTCGTTAAATTGCTTGTTCTTGAACTTAAATCAAGTATTACTTCATTCCTTCTTATTTACCGGGGTTTTGTAAAAGCTGTCATGGCATCTATCTTCTGATATTTCTCTTTAAGCCTGTTGTAGTTTTAACACTAGAAATCAAATAATATCCGGGCTTTAGTCTCGGGAGGTTTCTTTAATTGTTCCTTTTCGGCCTAACTTTGTGCAGTCCAAAACTTGTTAATTCGTTTAAATTATTGTAAAAACATGCAGCAATTAGGTACAGTAGAAGATATTCAAATCCGTTGGCTTCTGTTCCAAGATAATATGTAGAGTCTAATCCCTTCATCTTCGCATGCAGCAACATCATGTAGGGTAGAGATGTGGAAAAGAAAACACTTCCAGTTGACATTTACAGTGAATAACTTTGAAGAGAAACAGACTCTTTGCAGATCGATGTGAAATCCAAGTGTAAGGAAACGCACCAAGGTCTTTGCCTCTAGCTTCAGAAGGACTATGAATGCATTAAGCAATTGGGAGACAGTAACCCCGTTGAAGATTCAAACATTCGAGAAACTGACACGGAAACTGCACTACGTAAGTGCAATGGTTTCGCTTTAATTTTACGAGCACTAGGGGGTCTCTTACAGGGCACAATTTCTGGCTTTGAGGAATGGCATCACATATTAAATAGCAATACTTTGGAGCTACCCTCAATTGCTCGCATACTCCCAATTTGTTTACTACAACATTTAAGGCAGAAGGGCAGAGAATCACATGAAGTACGCCACTCTGCTAGGACAGAGTCACAGAGGTAATCTAACTTCATTTGCTAACCAATATTTTGTTTTGCTGCATGTACTGTACTTTTCGTTCTTCCAATTTGAACCGTGTTCCATTTCTTTCGCTACAGTTTCTACTTAGCAATCATATCATACCTATGTAGTTGATTAACGATCATAATTTTGTCTGAAATCCCATCTCTGTCAAATTTATTGATGAAAATACCAGGTAGGCATTGATCTATTGAAATATTCCACATCGGTTGTATGTCTGAAAAAATAAGATTTTAATATCCTAACCCCCCAACTAGTACTGAGGCTTTTTGTAATAAAATCTCATATTTGACGAATTGTGCATGTGGTAATTACCAAGTTAAGGACAATATAGGTGTTGTTGGAAGTGGGTTTTTGGACAGTATAACTACATGTTAGTGATTTTGCTTAGGGACTTTAGAATTTTCTTCAAGTTTGTAACTTTGGGTGGCGATGTTTCTGTCTAACCATGCAGAGAAAATGTGATTTTGGACGCAATTGCAATCACTAGTCAATTGCGTGGTATGACTGAGAAAACCGGAAGCTGGAGAGATCAAATTGGACTGAGTTTTAATTTGATTGGCAAAAATACAATTTCGCCTTTTCGTTTGCACAGTTCTTTCTAGATATCTCAAGTTTTAGATGAACTGATCACTAATTTCTCGTGCAGGCATACTCAGCAGAGCGGATCTTTCTAGTCAGTAGCCCTTGTACGGAGATTTTATCAGCTGCTTGTGATCAGGTTTCGTCCCCAAATAGGCCTCGGTTTGCGTTGTTCGGTGTGCTCTCGGCTGTCGCACCTGTCTACTCACTTGCATATGGGAGCTGATTTATAAGGAGGGGGTTTCTCTCCCTTCTAATTTCTTTTCTCTTCTCTTTCTCTCCTACTTGAATGGTTATGCTTAATTCACGTCAATATATTATATTAATTTTTTTATAAAGAAAATAAAACAAAAAAATAAAGTGTGAGGGGAGGGAAGGGAAGAGGATTAGAATAGGAGGGAAGCGAATT